ATATTGTAAAATTAAATGGAGATCTTTTTTAAAGGTTAAAAAACTCATTCAATTTTATGTCTTACAGGGCTTATACTGAGTTCAATATGGTATAACTGTATTAACTCAACTGTGAACCTAGGAACTTACACCCACTTGTGAAGAGGTGTACTCTTGCTCTGGAGTGTGTTACTGAATATGTTAAAGCTGGAGTGAAATGCTTCTTCTAATCATGTAGTTATTAAAAAATTTAAAAAATAATGATTAAAAAATAATGATAATTCTTCAAAGCATAAAAATTTGCTCCTTGATGATTGGTATATGTGAAGGACATTACCATTCAAATCTACCTGATTACTTTATATCCATGCTCAGATACCAAGGAGCTCAGAAAGTGACCGACTGTGACTAGTAATAATCAGATGTATAGAGATTAGGAACGCCTGTGCAAACATCTTCATGTCAATTGCATTAAAAATGAATTTTTCTGTATGAAACTGTGTATTTTAATAATGAAATTGAGGTCTTTTTAAAGGTTAAAACCTCATTTAATTTTATGTCTTATAGGGTTTATGCTGAGTACAATATTGTATAACTGTAATAATTCAGCTGTGAACCTAAAAGGTTACAGCCAATTTTGAAATAGATGCATCTTATCTCAGGAAATCATTATTGAATATGTCAATACTGTTTTAATGAAATGCTCCTTCTAAGTATGTCGTTATTGAATAAATTTTTTTAATTTAATACATTTAAAAGGACAGAGGTCAAAGTTACTTAGCTTCTGTTATTATCATTCATAAATTAAAGATATTTTCCTGGTAGAAGAACAGTGTTTTGATGTGTATGTCTGAGGTTGTCAACCTTTTCATCTTGCAACCATCCAGTCAGCCTGCTACTCCAATATCCTGAAGAGGTAATCCAGAAACCTTAACTGAAAAGTTGTACTTGTCAATAACTGAACTGAGACCACTTCTTATATTCCATTTGTATATCAACATAAATTGGCCCCAAAACTGAACACCAAGTACTACTCAGCTGGGTCATAACTTGACAAATTGTGGGAACAGCAAACAAAGATACAAATAACAACTCATTAAAGATGAGATCATCTCCCCATACCAAGAAACACTACCAACAACAAAATTCCAGATGCCTAGGATCTCGTAGAAAAAAAAAAAACACAAATAGCATGAATAACCAAAATAATATGTCTACTCCAGAAATTACCCCCATTATGTTTCCTGTGAATGGAAACCTAGACAATGCACAAGACAGTAATTTCAAAAGAAGAATCGTAAGTATGTTTGAGAAACTCAAAGATGATATGAATGAAGACTATGAATAGATAGTCTAGTGAAATAACTAAAACAATTCACAACATGAAATTAGAATTCAGTAGAGAGAGTCTCGTAAACACCAAACAGAAATAATACTTGAAATGAAAAACTCAGAAATGCAAACAAAAACTTAGAGGAAAGATGCAAAAGGGAAGTGGGGGAAATGGAACAGAGAATATCAGACCTTGAAGACACGCTGAGGAAACGGATCACTCAATCAAGGAAAATGGGAAGTCTAAAATAACCATCTTCTCCACACATAATCTTCTCTTTCCCTGCTAGCATCAAGTTTTCCAAAGTGAACAGAAACGCAATCCAAGGGGTAAAAACTGCTAAGACCTCAATAATAGGATTCTTGGAGTCATTCTCCACCTCCCTGCTCTCGTTCCATATTGAAATCACTTAAGGAAACAAATAAAATTATTGTTGAATAAAGATTTATGCATATATGTTAATTTATGAAAAGAACAATTAAACTAAAATAGTGTAGTAAACGAAGCCTTCAAAGACAGAGTAGAGGATTTTCATCTGTCATTATATACTAGTGGATAACAGAAGAAAGTTATTGTCCATTTTTAGAGAATAAGGATTTGTCAAAGTTACACAAACTCCCACCACCATGCTTTAGCTAGGTATCAGACAGTGTTTCAGCTGCAAATTTTCTGGTTCCCAATTTTGTTGATCAAATAGCAGTGCATTTTCTGAAAGTACACCAGCCAGTATCCAATAACTAGGAAATAATTATTTCAAGATCACTATTTTCCCAGAATAATATGTAATTATTTGTCTAGTCATTGAACTCTGATCACCACCTACTAAACACTAGTCAGAATCAGGGACTATATATATTTGAAATAGGGTTCTTCTCAAGAAAAGATGCATTTCATTTTGTTCTTTGTCAAACTTCATTTTAAAATTGCTAGTGTAAAATAAATACATAAATAAAATAGCTAGTATATTAGATCTGCCCTCTAAGAATAGGATGTAGGAGCTGGAGAGAAAGTTCCAGGATTAAGAAGCACTTTCTGTTCTTCCAGAAGACCTGAGTTTGGTTCCCAGCACCCACAGTAGGTGACTCATAACTGCCTGTAACTCCAGCTCCAGAGGGATCTGATACCCTCCTTTGGCCTCACAGAAAACTACACTCACATGCGCATTCCCCACAAAGACATACAGGCACACACATAATTAAAAAATAAATCTCTAAAAATAAAATGGACTTTGTTTTTAAGACAAATAGGTCTTTATAATTTTTAAGAACAGAATTTCCAATATCATAAAGTAAACTTTATTTTTTAAGGCACACATAAATAATTATATACAATGTTTGGAATAAAATAAATTTATCTGGTAACTTACCCAAATACTTCTCCTTTCCTTTATGCTTCTGATCAATTTTTAACAGATGCAAAGATATAAAATTTGTTGTATTTATTTCAAAAGAGTAAAAGTATTCATAAAACTTTATAAAGAAAATTAGAGATAATTTCAACATTATTTTAAACAAGTTTGTCACAAAATAGTAAATCTTCTTTTGAAATGGGTTGTTTTATTCTATTTTAAGCTCTGCCTTCAGATTAATAGCATCTTGTTCTTTTGCAGAAGATATCTTTTCATTTTTGTAATACTGTTTCTGCCTAGAAAATTCCATTGATTGCACATTTCCCTTTCTATACATATGAGGATGTAAGACTTTCTATATTAAGCCCTCTTCTAGACCTTTGAATATTTCTTTATCAATAGTAAAACAAAGTGTGACACATTTTGGGATGCTAAAGTTAAACAGGACACATTCAAGGAGAGTCTGAAGTCTATAGTAAGGTCTAAGGCTGGACTACAGAGTGAGATCCTGTGTCAAAATCAAAAACAGAAATAAATTTAATGAGGTCCCACTTACTGATTATTGATCATAGTGCCTGAGCAGCTGGTGGTGTCTTATTTAGAAAGTCCTTTCCTGTGCCTATATCTTGGAGGGTGCTGCCTATGTTTTCTTCTAGCAGTTTCTGACATTTGGGTTTTATATTGAGGTCTTTGATCCACTTGGAGTTGACTTTTGTGCAGGTTGAAAGATAAGGGTCAAGTTTCATTTTTCTGTAGGTGGAGATCCAGTTTTTTCAGCACCATTTGTTGAAGATGCTGTCTTTCCTCCATTTGTGTGTGTTTAGCACCTTTGTTGAATATCAGGTGGCTGGAATTATATGAACTCATGTTTGGGTCTTCTATTGTGTTCCATGTTGACTGCCATGTTGTCTTGAAATTTTCTGAGCCAACTAATATTTACTTCATCCTCACTGAAATTTTTATGTCTATATGGGAAAGTTTCATCTTCTGATGAAAACTACATTATTATGCAGTTGTTACATGGAATATTCTGTAGATGTCTGTCAAGTCCATCTGCTCTAAACTGTAATTAATTTTTTTTCAGAGAGGCATGGTTGCACACACCTTTAGTCCCAATACTGTGGAGGCAGAGACAAGCAGATTTCTGTGAGATCAAGGCCAGCCTGATCTATATAGCAAGTTCCAGTCCAGCTGGG